GTCATCCACGTACCTCTTCCACAAGGACGGGCGTAGAGTGGATGCCTGGATGGCATCCATCTAAAATTTTTCCATGAAAATATTCTCTACAACCGAAGAGAAGGGAGAACCCATTGGGGTGCCTTCAGTTTGTTTGTCGAATGTTCCATTCCAGGTGAAGTATGTATTGGTGAGGTAGTGTCTCACCAGGGCCGGTACATCAGCATTCAATCCTTGTTGGACTAAATCTTCAATTATTGCAATGGTATCGGGCACAGGAACTTTGGTGAACAAAGAAACTCCATCGAAACTTACTAGCAAATCACCTGGGGACAGTGAAATGTCCTTAATTGACGATACCAGGTGAGCTGAATTAAGTACAGAAGAGGTGGTCTTGCCAGTGAATGGCTGTAAGGTCTCAGACAGATATCGGGCGAAGGGGTGTACCTTCTTTATGGATATTGGGTAAGCCATATAATCTGGGTAGTCTAGCAGCAGAAGGTTGAAAGGAAACCCATTTGGTCTGTTCAATTAATGAAGCTGAATCAGTGATGATACTGTTCGTTTTGTAACGAGGTTGTTGGTGGTATCTATTTCGATTTTTGTGTAGCTACCATCATTAAGTAGGTCCTGAATTTTGGTATTGTACACGGTTTTGTCCATGATGACCGTGGCATTGCCCTTGTCGGCTGAGAGGATGACGATATCATCCCTCTTTTTCTGCTGTGCCTGATCATTATTTTAATGCGGCTGTCTCACACGAAATCTATTTCTCTAAGACGATGGAACTTTGCAAGCCCACTGGCTATCAACAAAGATTTGTACATGAAGCCATCCATATATACAGACACAGACACAATTTCAACCGAGAGGATGGTTATAAACTCAGCAATCATTGGAAAGATGTCATCAACCACTTTGGGTCGTGACTTGATTTGTGTTTTGTTGTCGGGGGAGCACAGGTCAAGTCATGACTTGATTTGTGTTGTTTTCTTGTTGTCTTGCCCCAGGGGATATGTGACCCGCCCACTTCATTCTGACACCGAGACGTTTTGTGGCACTGCATGTTCTGTGCTTCTCATTGATGCTCTCTGATCACAAGGCACATATGCCCCGCCCACTTCGTTGCGCCGCAGCAGCACTTGTTCTTGTGCCACGCCGATTTTTTAAACCATTATAAACGATTGCCCTAGGTGACCATCTCCCTCTTTCATCCTGAAGACGATCGCTTGTGTTGTGATCGAAACGTCGTGGTTTTTATTTTTATCTTTATTTTTAACTATTTTAATTAATTCTAGATTTGAAGCTTTCGTGACTGCCAGGATTCATACTCTTTGGTTTTTTCGGTAAAGTCACGTAGGTAAAATAAAAATAAAATAATATAATAAAACAACTAAATTAAATCACGACGTTTCGGAGTCAACACAAGCTTCCGTCTTCAGGTGTAAGAGTCACAGCAAGATAGCTGCATCAAGTGAGGAGCTCTGAGACACCCGAGCTTATATACAGGTTAAGGGGGGGGGGGGGGAAGAGCCAGGCCGGGGATGATGATGAGGTGCGGGGCTAAGTTAATCCGTCTTTTGTTATGCTGAGGGTTCGGGGGATGCGGTGGTTCACTACACGAGGGCAATGGAAAAAAGGCTGTGCACTTATAAGGCAGCTAAAGTTTTGACTTGGTTTATTACATCTTTACAGTGGTTGCTTAATTTAAAACCATCTTCTCAGTTGAAGTTGTGTCTATGTTTGTATATCTGGATGGCTTCATGGACAAATCTTTGGTAATAACTGGGAGGTTTGCATAGTACTTTGGTATAGGAGAAAACAATGTCATGAGAACCCGCTGTGTTGAGACAATGATCAGCTACGACCAAATAATTCGTTCTGCCATGTTTCAAATCTGATTTGTGTTCGCGAATTCGGTCAGAAATATGTCGTTTCGTCTCCCCAATATAGCAGCTACCGCAGATATAACTCAATTTGTAAACACCGGGGTACTGTAAGTCAGGAATAACATCCTTTACGCATGGGATCAGATCACGGATTTTGTACACTGTATTGAACCGAACCTGGATCTTGTGTTTGTTTAGAATTTTGTAAATCTTTTTGGTAACGCCTGCTATGTATGGTAGTGTGATGATTTTGATCGGAGTATCAAATGGTTGTTTCTGTATGGTGGGAGAAACAGCATGGCGGATGATACGGTCAGAGTAACCGTTCATCTTGAGGGCTAAATGTATATGTTTAATTCACTGGTCAGGTGGTGTTGGTCAGAAATGCAATGAGCTCTATGGTATACTGTTTTGATGAGATAATTCTTTTGAGCAGGGTGGTGGTGGGAATCAGGCTTTAAGTAGGAATCTGTGTGGGTGGACTTCCTGTAAACAGAATGTCCCAAGGATCCATCAGTCCTCCTCTCAAACAGAACATCCAAGAATGGCAGCTTGCCATCTTTATCCACTTCCATGGTGAATTTGATGGATGGGTGTCTGGAATTGATGTGGTCTAAGAAATGGTTCAAAGCTGGGAGGCCATGTGGCCAAATGACAAAAGTGTCATCCACATATCTCTTCCACAGGGAAGGACGAAAGGTGGATGTCTGGATGGCGTCTGATTCAAATTTCTTCATGAAAACATGTCCACGATCAACTCCCCTACCTACAAGCTAGCCCGTTTTCTTTGGATACTCTGCTTACCTTCACTGGCAAGACCACCTCAGCAGTACTTAACTCAACCCAATTGGTTTCTATGGTCAAGGACTTTGTACTATCTCCTGACGATATCCTCGTCAGCTTTGATGTGGTCTCTCTGTTCACTAAGGTCCCAGTACCTGATACCATAACAATAATTGAAGATTTGGTCCAACATGGACTGAACCCTGAGGTACCTGCGCTGGTTAGGCACTGCCTCACCAACACTTACTTCACCTGGAATGGTACCTTCTACAAACAAAATGAGGGTACCCCTATGGGTTCCCCTTTGTCACCAGTGATAGCCAATGTTTTCATGGAGAAATGTGAATCAGACGCCATTCAGACATCCACCTTTCGTCCTTCCCTGTGGAAGTGATATGTGGATGACACTTTCGTCATTTGGCCACATGGCCTCCCAGCTTTGAACCATTTCCTAGAACACATCAATTACAGACACCCATCCATCAAATTCACCATGGAAGTGGAGAAAGATGGCAAGCTGCCATTCTTGGATGTTCTGTTTGAGAGGAGGACTGATGGCTCCTTGGGACATTCTGTTTACAGGAAGTCCACCCACACAGATTCCTACTTGAAGCCTGATTCCCACCACCACCCGGCTCAAAATAATTATCTCATCAAAACAGTATCCATAGAGCTCATTGCATTTCTGACCAACACCACCTGACCAGTGAATTAAAACATGTACATCTAGCCCTCAAGATGAACGGTTACTCTGACCGTATCATCCGCCAAGCTGTTTCTCCTACCATACAGAAACAACCACTTGATACTCCGATCAAAAAGCCATCACACTGCCATACATAGCAGGCGTTACCAAAAAGATTTGGTAACGCCTGCTATGTGTAGGCCTTTACTTTAACATCTATTTCTGTGACCAGTCACAAGCTAATCCCTTCGCTATTTCAATGCTAAATTACTAATTGCCTCTGTGGATGTGTAGGTTTTGACTTTAACATAGCCATTTCTGTGACCAGTCACAAGCTAATCCCTCAGCTATTTGCACAAGCTAATCCCTTAGCTATTTCAATGCTAAATTACTAGTTGCCTCTGTGGATGTGTAGGTTTTGGCTTTAACATAGCCATTTCTGTGACCAGTCACAAGCTAATCCCTCAGCTATTTGATATGTAAACCCCTTTGTCAAGGTGCCTCACTTCTCCCAACCAGCTTAAAAGTCGCTACGAATCTTAACATGGTTCATTGAAGCTCTGTCGTCCTGACAGGTTTGTTCCTTTCACCTGAAGATGGCCGCTTGCGTTGTGGCCGAAACGTCGTGAGAATTTTATTGTGTTATTTTATTATTTTATTCTCATTCTACGTGACTTTACCGAAAGAACCAAAGAAGACAAGATCCAGGTTCGGTTCAATACAGTACACAAAATCCGTGATCTGATCCCATCCGTAAAGGATGTCATTCCTGACTTACAGTACCCCGGTGTTTACAAATTGAGTTGTATCTGCGGTGACTGCTATATCGGGGAGACGAAACGACATATTTCTGACCGAAATCGCGAACACAAATCAGATTTGAAACACGGCAAAACGAATTCTTTGGCCGTAGCTGATCATTGTCTCAACACAGCGGGTTCTCATGAGATTGTTTTCTCCGATACCAAAGTACTATGCAAACCTCCCGGTTATTACCAAAGATTTGTCCATGAAGCCATCCAGATATACAAACATAGACACAACTTCAACCGAGAAGATGCTTTTAAATTAAGCAACCACTGCAAAGATACTCACTGGAAAGATGTCATAAACCAAGTCAAAACTTTAGCTGCCTTATAAGTGCACAGCCTTTTTTCCATTGCCCTCGTGCAGTGAACCACCGCATCCCCCGAACCCTCAGCATAACAAAAGACGGATTAACTTAGCCCCGCATCTCATCATCATCCCCGGCCTGGCTCCTCCCCCCCCCCCTTAACCTGTATATAAGCTCGGGTGTCTCAGAGCTGCTCACTTGATGCAGCTATCTTGCTGACTGTTCCACCTGAAGACGGAAGCTTGTGTTGCCTCCGAAACATCGTGATTTAATTTAGTTGTTTTATTATATTATTTTATTTTTGTCTTACCTATGTGACTTTACCGAAAAACCAAAGAGTATTTTAAGTAATTTTTATGACTGAAAGAACCAAGAATAAGTCTACATGATAGACTGCCAGTACGCTCACTCAGGTTAATAACCAGGCTACAGTCTACATTATAGACTGCCAATACGCTCACCCAGCTTAATAACCATTCCTACAGTCTACACCATAGACTGTCAGTACACTCACCAAACTTAATAACCAGGCTACAATCTATATTATAGACTGACAGTACACTCGCTCCGATTAAGAACTAGAATACAGTCTACATGAATGGATTTTAGTTTTTTATTATTATTTATATTTGTATCATTTTTATTCACTTCATTTTTTCTTATTTTTCTATCTACGTGACTTTACCGAAAGAACCAAAGAATATGAATTCCTGCAGTCACTAAAGTTTTAAGTCAAATTTTTTTATAAATATTAACGTCATTCTGACTGACTCGTCTGAATTTTTTCAATAATCGATATATGTAGCACAGTTTGACCACTCGTTTTATCATTTCAGTTCGTACATTTCTATCAATAATTTGTTTATGACAAAAACTATCCATGACACGAAGAGAGAGAGAGAGAAGATGCTAATCTATATGAACCATTGTCTTAAATAACTGCTGGTAAACCAAAAAAAAAGTGACAAATTGTCGTTTTGCGAATATTTTGACCGTGTCTATTTGTGTTCAACCGCCCCAAATATTCACTTATTGTGGAACTTATCTACTTCGTGTGTCCATACAATTTGTATACGTAAATGTACCTATGGAATTCATATACAGTACTTGCAGTAACGTAACGAAATGCGGTGGAGCAATGTTGCAATTCTTTGCGCTGTAAACCCGCTGACCTGGCTGAGATTGAGAGTTACAGCGCACATCAGTGGCAAGTGACATCTGAGCCGGTTCCTGGCCAGCTCCCTTTCAACAACCTGCACTAACCAGCGTGGTGAAGCATGGTCAAACAACCCAGCTCCATGGCTAACGCATCTTCGGTGAGGCCTTTGCATTGCAACATGGGATGTTAATTATTTACTTAATGCACATATGCAATTATTAACATGTTGCCCGCATGTCGAATCGGTCGATTTGTGCTTTTTTTGTTTCAAGAAGAAGAACAATTTTGTCTTTGTGGTTACAATGACAGGGCAGTGGGATAATTGTTTTACATTCACGCGGACTGTGAGCCCCGGGGCCAGTGAGATCATCCGTGGCGCTCACAGTGCACAGCTTTTGTAAGGAATGTACCGTTACAGCAAATAAAGCAGATATTCGTGATCCCCCCAACGTGGAAAAGTAAACCATTGTCGTTGCACAGTGTTGACGGTGTTACCTGCAGTGGCGGTGTTAAGTGTTTAAACGAAGCAGGCACGGGGTGCATTGTTTCCATTTATTATGTATGTACATTTACTGACCTGCTTATCGTTTTCTCTATTTTTCACTCCTGCCGGGGCTTTTCCCCCCCAGTATTCTTCGGTGTCGTAACTTGCTGACCCGCCCATGCTGGACATTTGTGAAAAGAAAAGCTTCATAGCTCATCGGATTCCTCCAGTCCAAATACACATTCTGATTCTGACCATAAGGTGGATACATCACGTGGAGTCGCTTTCTTAGGTGGAAATGGACCTCGTTTTCGTGTCAGAGTGACATCGATCGGCATGGCAACGTGAGCACAAGAATAATATTTTAATTTTGATTTAAAGCTTTCGTGACTGCAGTGGTTCATGTTCTTGGTTCTTTCGGTAAAGTCACGTTGATGATGACTGCTTGTGTTGCAGTCGAAACGTCGTGAGAATTTTATTGTTTTATATATTTTTTATTATTTTATTGTTTCCCTTCAACGTGACTTTACCGAAAGAACCAAGAATAAGATTCTCAGAATACTTTATTAATACTTTAAGACTCTCAGTGTTATACACGATTCACCCAACTGGCGATTTGATCGTGATTTTGTTTTATGAATCTTTCTAGCCTAACGTTGCAGCTAGTCGTAGCGACGACAGTGGCTGCAGGGATGGTGTGAACTCATTGTTTTCTATGCATACACGAAGTTCAAAACTTTGACTTGTTGCTACGTCAGTTGCCGCGGTTCTGCCGTGAAGCTCTCTGTTTTTCTGGTTGTATCGCGTGTCATTTAGCGCGATGTACAATGTTCCACTCCGCAAACTGGGAGCTTCTTAAGGAAATGACTGGTCGGGAGCAAAACGTCAGACATCATGCCGAACAACGTGCGGTACAACCCAACACACACATCGGAGAGTTAAACGTCATTTGTGAGTGTCAGTGCATGTATCCTGAGTTTAAGAATTGATATAAATCAATCAAATGATGGGTCGTTTTCCCCCTAATCCATATCTGTTGCTCCCAGGTAAAAAAAAAAAGAAATATCTTCGTTGGGAATCAATGTGCCCCTATGAGATGTGCCGATTGCAAACAATACAGGAAATTCATTTTTACATGACAGTTTCATATTGATTTTGGTGAGCGTTGATGGGTTTTGATAGGTATGTCACATATCTGACGTATGTGTATCGCACATCTTCACGCAGTGGCAGTGAAGACGGAGGGTGTACTTCGACCTCCGAGCCACCCATTCCACTTTTACCCGGAGAGCCAAATGGACAAGGCTGAGTCGGTGTGTATATGGTCACCTCCCTGTGCAAATGTAATCAGTCAAAATGTATTATGTTGTTAAAAGAGAGTTGACGATATTAAATTCAATATATACATATAATCATATTTGGTTTCACAGAGCGTTGTTCATGCACGTTGCATCTCACAAGCGCCGAAGAACCACAAACAAGCTGGAAGGCAGCCAAACGCCAACAATTGGACAAGATCGGCAATATATACACAAATTATTGCCGGCCAATTAATGGGTGTGTATACATGTGGCAGGAGGCTGTCACACCAGAAGAAAATCCACGCATGCAAGGCGGCAAATATAAGCATTAGCGAGCATTCAGTCTCACATAACAAGTTACATTTGCTCATCTGTGCTGTACGTATGCATGTTTACTTTCTTTCTCACCATACGTAGCCAACCGTGCTAATCGGAGGTGCGGGGGAAGGACAACAAACTAAACGCAAAAAGCAGTTCTCAAGAAATGAGTATCGCTGTGATGCATAGCATCTGATAGTCTTTCATGCTGACTCTTAATTTTTCCGAGGCAGCCATCATAAGCACCAATGAATCATCATAGGCCCATAAAGGCACTGCCTATTGGTATGATGTAAATGAAAATGATTCATGTACATATATTCGTCCTCCCTTTCTTATTCCTTAACAAAATAGCTTTGGACAAGGTTTTTACCGTTCAAGGGCATACACGAAATGAGTGACATTTATATCCCAAAGCTATACATTTCTGGAGTGCAAAGCTGTTTGACATTTTCAGCTTCACGTGAGACTTTAGTTCAGTCTCAAAAAGGGGATGGTCGCTGTTGTCTTGAAGAGGGGCCCTCTTTTAATAAACGCAGGTGTGAGAGATGGGTGAGGTCATGTGACTCTGCTGGGCTAAAGCGAAGTCACGCGACGTGCACATGCGCAGCAGGGTTAGCTTTATTTTATTTGAATGTGTTTTTGTTTTGTAAGTTATTAGATAATTTATCATCATTGATAATATACAATTAGTTATTGTGACATGCTCTAGAACGCAAAAAACACAAACAATTAACAACTTGCAGCTCTTCTAATGTGCAGATGTGCAATGGTACTACCATCCTTCATCACGTGACGCATCTGCCCTCTGTTGGTAGACTCTGGAGAGAGAGAGAAATACGTTTTTTTGTTTGTATTGTGATACAACGCCAATTCTTTTTTAAGGGATGTTTGCATGTTGGGGAAATGCCGCAATAGTACCCCAATAGAACCCATGCATTTGAAGGGGACAAATATCCCCCGTATAGCCTTAGCAGGCTGATGGGGCAAGTGCTGTTAGCGAGCACCTATGAAGGCCGGCAAGGCACACGAGGGGATGGGCGGCCAAGACCACGCCCGGCCGCCTTTGTCTCCCCAGTGAAGATGTTTACACACCACACCAGGTACGCATATAAGGCTGAGTCGACCTAGGGGAGATCCAGAACTGCTATAGATAATCGTTACTGGTGTTGGCCGTGAGCGGGAATCCAACTCGGGCCCTCAAGGACCTGCAATGATGGGTCCCTGAACCTATTTTCTGTCCTTCTATCTGATTGCCATCTCATAGCCCAGCATATTCAGGAGTTTAGACAAATTAACGTAATCCACAAACACTTGTCACCAAAGTGCTGAACCAGAGAGGTATGCCACAACACCTAACATGGTCCCTCGCATTCGTGGGTTTTCTTTACATACTCCGGTGTCCTCCCACTCACTAATTGGCTGAAAACATCTTAATATATATGGAGCTGCAGAGCAATTGTTGGTGTCGGCTTATCACACGGGCAGGCCTTCCAGCTTTGCCTGCAGTTCCTCAGCGATTGTGATATGCAATTTGCATGAACGTCGCTATATGAAACTAATAATTAGATTTTTATTATTAACAATCTTAAAACATTGCAACTGAATCTCACATGTGTTTTATATGCATAATCATTAATAAATGGTACAGAAGCTCATACATTTTAACATCGCAATCTTAATCATAGCACATTATTCCTTAAGGCATGTTAATGGCTCATTAAAAAACACTTATTTTTCACAATTTTATTGCGCTTTCAAGTTCCTGGAACAATATCCGGGCGGAACTCTGAAGCAGGTATCACATAGCTACTTCTGAGGTACCTTCAAGAACCAATGTTTATCTGAACACTAGCTAAGTTTTGAGTGGCTGCACTTCCCCACTCCAGAGAAATGCTTTGCGCAAAGAAGTCAAACCAATCTGTTTAATTCTCAGCGGTGGGATTTAGCCAATGTGGTCAAAAAAATAAATGTAATATGTTTTGTTTATGCCGTCCTTGGTGACCATGCTGAGGTCAACAACTCGCTACTTTTGTGAACACAATTCAGTCGCGGGTGGCTGAACGCAGACTCAAATCCACAATCTCAACGGTGCTCTCCCCAATCCTTGGCCTCTGCGTCACCAGGTCATCTCATCAATGCCTCATGCAGCAATCGAGGTGGTTGTTATGAACATTCTGTGAAATTCTGTATGCCAATGTTCAAATGATGTGTGGCAATGAATTTGATGTTAATAGAACATGAATCTTGGCCACGCTTTGTGATTAAACGTGTACTAGCTGCCACTTTGGCGCTATTGCAAAACACTGTCGCAAAAGCATTCCAGACACGTATTCCATATTAGGCTTTGTTGAGTGTTTGTTGTATTCTCGGGTAATACTGTAATGTTATTCATCACCATTCCTTTACTATTTTATTTCTAATTACGTTTTCACGGAGTTATTTCTCGGATTAATATTATGTATGATGTCCGTGAGCTTTTACAATTCATCAAAGGGCTCGTATTGAAAATAAATATTCGTATTTTTTTATACGGAAGGAATATTTATATACACTATGTATACGTAAAGTGTGAACAATTACAATATGTCCACAAATATATAATCCGTTATTAAAGACAACGGTCTGAACTGCACGGTGGAATATTGGGCTTGTTGGCTACGTACGGTGCAAAAGAAGTTCAACATACGTCATGTGCAAGTTAAAGTTGATGTCAAAATAACAAAAAGCTTGAGTGATCATCAACGGCGCGGGGGCAGAAGCATGCAAAAAATCAGAGCCAAGACGTCGGTGAACACCTGGAGGCTCTCTGAAATCTTGATTCGACGTGTGTTGCTAATACCATGGTAGACACGTTGAGCTCTAGATATTGAACAAAGCGAAAACGAATCGCCCCTATTCCCCGCATTACAAGATGCTCCAAGATAGTAAGGGACAGCGTGAACACGTGTGTGCCTGTCGATACGTGTGTACAATTCGTGTGAGACACACACACACACGGCACGCACTGCGCGCGCGCCCACCTGCTGGATTTGGTGACGCACCCCAGCACCTTTCCCTTTAAAAATGCAGGGGAGGAAGGCGCGCCTCGTGCTCCGATGAATACGGTAACACTTTGCCGAACGACGATTTGCCCAATGGAGTGCACCGGTACACACATCCCCGTCAGATAGCGCGGAGCGGATCGGTGTCGACACTCGTACACCAATGTGCACAGCTTGCAATCAATACTTTGTTTTTAATTGGCAGCCATTGCAGGCCATCACGAGTGACCGGTGCGATGCCGTCTGGGGTGGAAGCAGATGGATGGCGCTGGTGCGGCTGAAGGAGCGATTGGGATACTCCACACGGCTGGCGACGAACGCACGGACTGGTGTCCTCGCTGCGGCAAGAGTCAATGAACGACGGCGTTTTTATTTTATGCGGCGTTTAAAATACTTGCCTGCAGATACATTGCCACGTGATATGCCACTTAGTTGAGCAAACATTTGTGGCGAAGAGGTCGCTTCTGAAAAATATATTTATAGCTCAGTGGGCCTGAACTGGTCAAGTAAAATAAAAAATAAAAATCGTTCAGTTTATAGTTTTAGAAACAGTTCCACGTGAAAAGCCACTTCTTTGAGCTATCATTTGTGTTTAAATTTCGATTTAAAGCTTTCGTGACTGCAATGATTCATCTTCTTTGGTTCTTTCGGTAAAGTCACGTAGAATGAGAATAAAATAATAAATTGGCCGAAACGTCGTGAGAATATTGTGTTATTTTATTTTATCAATTTATTATTTTATTCTCATTCTACGTGACTTTACCGAAAGAACCAAAGAAGACTATCATTTGTGGCCAGTTCGCTTCTGAAAAAGAGCTAAATAGCTCAGCGGGCCTTTCCTGGTAAAATAAAAAATAAGTTTAAATAGTTTAGTTCATAGCTGTATTGCTGCTGTAGCTGGTAATAGCACCTGCCCGCCAAACGCCGCATGTGTGTAGAGAATATCAGTTCAGGGTCAATGTCAACGACCAGGAACTAAACATCAGCAGACGGTGAGATGTGTGTGTGCTCCACGGAGTGATGATCCGACACTGAACCTCGGCGAAGTTCAGTGAACTGGGTCTTCTCAGCTTTTAACTTCAGCTGGTTTGATCACGTCCACTGGTCAATGTCATCAAATGCAGGAGCTGAGGCGCGAAATCGATGCGACACGTGAAGCAGCTTTATCATGAGAATAAAGCCGCGTGCGATCAGCGCACGCGTGCCTGTGTGTGTACGCGTGCCTGTGTGTGTACGCGTGCCTGTGTGTGTACGCGTGCCTGTGTGTGTACGCGTGCCTGTGTGTGTACGCGTGCCTGTGTGTGTACGCGTGCCTGTGTCTGTGTACGCGTGCCTGTGTGTGCCTTAAATATTGGAAGAAGTCACCCCCTGTGAGTGGCTGGCTGAGGTGCCATCTGTTGAGGAAGTACTGAAGGCGATCCGGAGTCTTGAGACCAGGAAAGGCAACGGGCAGAGATGATCTCCCAAGCGAAATGCTGAGGGAGGGTGGCGTTTGTGCACAGACTGCCCTATATGACATCATAACAACAGTCTGGACCACTGGACTGGTTCCGCAGGATTGGAAGGATGCCCTGGTGGTCCCCCTCTTTAAGAAGGGGGACCGCACAGACTGTAACAGCTACAGGGGCATCTCACTCCTCAGTGTGCCGGGAAAGGTCCTGGCAAGAATTATTCAACATCGCCTTGCCAGGCACGCTGAGGAGAGGCTTGCGGAGCCCCAATGCAGTTTCAGGAAAGGGTGGTCCTGCACAGATGCCATATTTTCTGTCCGTCTGCTACAGCAGAGGTGTAGGGAATTCCAACAAGACCTACATCTCTGTTTTATTGACCTGGTCAAGGCCTATGATACCATCAGTAGGCCTGGGCTCTGGGTTGTTCTTCGTGCTTTTGGAGTCCCTGACCCTCTGCTCACAATCATTAAGGACCTTCATGATGGTGAGTGGGCCCGGGTAAAACTACGTGGCCGGGAGTCAGAGCCATTCCCTGTACACCTTGGGGTGCGACAGGGATGTCCTCTGGCTCCCACATTATTTAACATCTATTTTGACCACGTAGCTTGTGAAGCCTTCAATAGCTGTACCAGGGAAATCTCCATTTGGTACAGATTTAATGGGAGGCTGATCGATGCCCAGGTGCGGTCAAGGGATGGCTCCCTATTGCTCAACCACGTTATGTAGGCCGATGATTTGGTAATAGCTGCTCATTCAGAGGAGGAGTTGGAGACGCTGCTGCTGAGATTGGAGCGTGCCACTAAGAGATGGGGCCTTACCATCAGCCCCACCAAAACTAAGCACCTGCCTGGGTATTTTGTACCATTGGACACTCCACCCCCACAACTCCCAATCGGTGATGGGGCAGTTGTGGAGAGAGTGGAGAGTTTCCCATACCTGGGCAGTGTGCTTATGACCGGCTCCAGTTTAACAGCAGAGGTCTTACGCTGAATCAGTCGAGCGGCAATATCTTTTCATCGGTTGCGTAACGCTGTGTGGAAGCTACCTGGTCTGTCGCTCCGCACTAAGCTTCGGGTCTTCTCGGCCACGGTCATTCCCTCCCTTCTCTACGCTTGCGAAACGTGGACCCCCCTAATGGAACATCTTCGCCGGTTAGAAACATTTAAGCTAGCCTTCCTACGATCCATCCTGAGTTTAACCAGGCTGTATTGTGTGAGGAGCTCACAAATCCTTGAAAGATCTGGGCAAGGTCACATCGGTGAGCTCCTCCGGCAGGCAAGGCTGCGATGCCTGGGTCATGTAGCCCGCATGCCCAGCCACCGCATGCCGAAACAGCTTTTGTTCGGCCGGATTGAGGGGGCAAAGCGGGCGCGGCACGGGCTAGAGAAGAGATGGAGTGATGTGGTACAGGAGGACGTGGAGCTGAGTGGACTCGCCGATGACTGGTACCAGCGGTGTCAAGATCGGCCTCTGTGGAGGAGGCTCATGAAGGACGCTACTGG